ACTAATTGTTCATTGTCGGAGTCTCACAAACTGTGTATGTATATGTTTTTAAAATCAATTTGAAGTGAAGGAAAAACATTTCATTTCTCTTTCTTTCATTTATTCTCTCAAGGGACAACAGATAAAGCAAAAAAATGAATGAAGCTTCCATGTTTATCACCGATGATGGCAGTATGTTATCAGTTCACATCCCTCAGTTGGAAGATCACCAAAACTTGCATAAATCTTGTGTGCTCTGGAAGTTCTTCTATACAATAAACTGTCAACAGAATTAGAACCAGGATTGGCAGAGACCCCAGCGACTAATAAAGAATCAGAGACTTAACCAGGGTTGGCAAAGTTTAATTTGTGATAACTATGGCTGAACTCTTCAGCCTCACTCCTCTAATAATACATGAATCATCTCTACCCTTTACACTAGATTGAAAGCTAAGCCAAGACCCTCAAAGCCTACCTTGAATATTGTGAAAACAAGTGTGTGGGAAACAAATACATAATATTATCTCTATAGTAATTCTTTCACAGTACCATTTCCTGTTACAAATAAACTCTCAGAGCTGCTTATATTGATCCAAAAATACAGGCTTACATTTTAGCAGTCTCTTGTGAGAAGTTAAGTCTTCTAAAGAGACACATGAAAATTGAAAATTTCATGCCATGCAAGCTAATTCAATGTTTACTGCCACAAAAATGCCATCCATTTGGAATCAATTTTGTTTTTTTTTTTTTTTTCCTGAAAATAATTAATTACAGTAAAGGAGCTGATAAAATTGCTAGAAAATTCTGTAAGTCCAATGGGTTTGAAGTTTATTAAACTAACAATATAACAAGTAAGAAAAATAAACACTGTCAAAATGAGAAAAAGCAAAGAAATAGACAGAAGGCAGTACTTTCTTTTCTTCTAAGGATTTAAAATATACCTGAGTACTAACTGTGGGACATAAATGGAAAATACAAGATATTTTGAGGAATGGGTTTGTAATCATTATTAGTGTGTGCAACATCACAAATATAGACCCTGGGTGGCTGCACAATGCAGGTTTCTTCATTTTATCATGTTGAAAAGCAGGTAGTGGCTTTCTTTATGGGTGAATACTGGACAAAAGACAGGAATGTAAGTGTGAATTAAAGCAAAGGAAAGCAGAGTTTTTGTTTTGTTCTTGTTGTTGTTCTCTGAGTCTCCCTAAAACACAAATTAGCCTCCCATGTTAGTGTATTACATTAAAATTGAAATTGCAAGAGGGCAAAACTTCCAGAATCACACAGCGATTACGGTACTTATGAATACTGAATGAGGTAATATTTAATATATATACCTGAACTTAGAATATTGACTAGCATGCAGTGAGCTCTCAATCAGAATGCACTCAAAATCATTCAACTCAAATGTTATGAAATTAATCAATAATGACTAAAAATCATTTGCTATTTGATACTGTTCAGATATTTCATTTTTAACATAAAAAGCAACATATAAGATTTATGTTATTTTAAGATTTATTATATATTCCTACCTATGTGGTCTTGAGAGATTTCAGAAACCTCCATTAAGAAACAGGGAATTAAATCTGGACGTGGTGGCACACGCCTTTGATCCCAGTACTCAGTAGAAGCAGGCAATCTCCATAAGATTGAAGCCAGCCTGGTCTACTTAATGAGTTCCAAGCCAGCTGAGACTAAAGGGAAACCCTGTCTCAAAGACATACACACACACACACACACACACACACACGCAAAAAGAAAGAAAGAAAGAAAGAAAAAAAGTAAAACAACAAACTGGTAATTGAAAGATTTTTTTCTGTCTTATAAAGTAGAATTGCAAGATCATTTTGAATTTAATGGTTCAAAAGAACCAACTAGAAATACATTGGGAATATTTTATCCATCTATAGAAGGGGTGTTTTAATATATAAGCCCATATCTAATATGTCTTTCCAAATCATTGAAAAGTATTGCACTAGTTAAATTACTAGTTCACTGAAAGCTACATATGTTCTTAGATTCATTGACAAAACAAATATTTCAGATGTTATAAATCTATCTGTATTTCTCAAAATGAACTTTCATACATACCCAGAAATGTATACAAACACACACATGCCTATACACACACAGACAAAATGCACACACACACACATACACACACACCCTGCTCCACAGACACACACATACACATGTGCACCCATGCATACACAGACACACAGGCACATACACACACTCTTCTACATAGACACACACACACGTGCACTCATGCATAGACACCCATGCATGCACAGACATACATGAACACACACAAACACACACACACACACACACACACACACATACTTCCCCAACATGGAATGCCAAGTCCTTACCAAAGAATTTTGAGTGCTCTCACATTGTGAGTTCTTCCCTGATAGGTATACTTGCAAATGTTATATATTAAATACAAGATAGTTTTATTTCAAATGGAGCAAAAATTATCTATATAGAATATTCTTTGGATAACCAAATAAAATGGAATATTTCCACTAAAGATGATGGAATACATAGTGGTCTAAATTAATATTTATTAAACATATAAATATATATGTATATATACAAAATGATAGATATTTCTTTTTTAAAATTAATAGTCACCTTATCTTCCCTGATGTTTCTTTCTTATTTTTCTTTTTGAATTTCCTGAAAGTAAACAGCTTTAAAAATTGATATAAAATTTAATATGTTTAATATGCATGATAATAGCTAATTTTATTCAATACTTACTTTCATTTTGAACATTTTGAAACATGAATCAATAGAGAAATTCACTGCACTTTGTTTTTTTCACATGGCTACAAGTGGTTTTGTTATAGTCCTGATAGCTTCAAGTATGTATACACTAAAAATGACTGAATGGCTCTTTGGTTTGCATTCCACAATTCTTTATCCTCTGGATTAATAGAAGGGTGTCAAAAGGGGTCAATGAGACCTAAATTAAAAGAAGAATTAACTGTGGGTCAGTCACCAGTTATCTCATTATTCTGCTGAAATTCTGATTCATTTCAAGTGGAAAAAATTAACAATTGATGGGAATGGGTGAGGATTAATAACAGGTATCATTCTGTTTAGCATTATTATACCCCCCAGATTTCAAGTTAAGTAACACACATAACTGTTTCATAGTCTGAGGAAATGGAGCACATATGAACACACAAACAAATTCCTAATAGATGCTTAGGAGCTAGGGCCATGAAGAAGAGGATGAGCTTCTTTTTTCTTCTCTCACTGGGTTGATGAGAGGCCACTGCAAAGCACAGCAGAAAAATATTCATTGATGACGGGTCACCTCAGATCACTGTAGCAAAGTATCCATTGAGCTTTGGTGCTTTTTCAAAATGTACATAATAGTGGAGTTGTTTTTCTCAACCAAGACTACAAAGGAAGTCACATGAATACCTTGAGAGATACAAAAAAATCTCTCCACAAATATACAAGTTATACAAAAACACACATAGCCTTATGTATTTATCAAAGAAAAATATGAGTGAAATAATAACATTTTGTTCACTTCAAATAAACTGTGAAGTATTTAAGGGGATATCTTAGAATCAATGTTCCTGGGGCTCACCTCCCAAGTCTAAGATGAATTTGATGTATATCCCTGAAAAGATCTTGAAATATTAAGATTATCATTTAAACACCAATAGGTACTAGACAGTTATCTTTTTTCCATGTTTATAACCAACTTCCAGAAATGTATTAGAAAAAAGGAAAACAGCTCCCATTTTAGTATCATAATAGTTTATCATAGCTTATTAAAAGTCTCCCAGTATTAAACTAATTTACATCTCTATTTTAGTCTTGGGTATTTATAAGAAATAGAATCAAATTTTCAACTGGACTCTGTGACTATGATATGAATGATACACTAACCAGGAATATTATAAATGGGATGGCAAAAACAGGAGGCACACCAGAGAAGGTGCTATGCAATGATGGTCTCAGCTCTCTCTATAAATATACTTATCTACATTGCACACACTGTCACTGTTCATATCACTGTACAATGGTATAATTTATTTGTAATTTCATGAGTCAAATAAAACAATATTAGCATATGAGAGTGTCTTGTGTGAACTTTTGGACTTATGATGATAAATTTGTATCATTTTGATTTCATGTTTTTAAACTGGTTTATGTAAGTGTGAATAATTATAAGATCTCTGATACTGTAGTCTAAAACATATTGCTATGAGATATTCAGGCTTTTGTTTGAATAAGATTTTTTTTGTTTGAATAAGATTTTAATGATTGAAATGAAAAGTTCCAACTACATTGCTTCAAAGAATACCAATAATATTTTTTTCCACTCAGTCCACCTTAAGAACTAACAAAACTATTGCCATATAATCACAGGGCTTTGCTGAAGTTATGGATGAATCTTTTCTATTTTCCTGTGGAAACTGTTCCTGAAGACTACTGTTACATATGTACATATTTATAATAATTTAATTTGTATTGTACATTCATGCAGTAAGACAGTGCAGAACTTTATTCTTTTTAAAAAATTCTAAGATTATGAGTAGATGTGCATGTTTGTGTATGGGTTTGTGCACATGTGAGTGCAGTGTGTCTTCCAAGTTCTGAAGAGGGAATCAGATCCCCTGGAGCTGGAGTTGCAGGTAGTTGTAAGCCTCTTGACATAGGTGCTGAGAACGAACTTGGGTCTTCTGCAAGAGCATCACTTTTAAGAGCTAAGCCATCTCTCTAGTCCTCTAAGCTATTCTCAAATTATTGACAATGAACATCATAAAAAGCATTTTATTGATTGTCTTCAAATACCACACACTCTCTCTTTCTCTTACATTATTGTTTCTATCCCTAAACTATCCAGAAGAGCTTTGTTGCACATTTGTATGTAAGCAGATAGGGTATGTTTTATTTCATTGGATGGATAAAGTGCATATTTAAAAACTATTTAAGTGACAAAGAAGGTGTTACTGACTGAAAGGGAATTAAAGAAATACATTTAATTCACTCATGTAACAATTTTATTAAATTTTATGAGGATTACTTTTGGTGAGGAAGATTTATTGTCAAAGGCTGTCTTCACAGCAAATTCTGCAGTAAGATGCAGTTGTGACCTTGATATCAATACATCCATGCAAAGCACACAGTAGAATCACACTAAACAAAGAGAATGAAAAAGTTAAGTGAGACAAAGGAAAAGCAGTTTTGTTGAGATTTTGCTTATTTCCATAAGATAGTCCTTTTATTGATTTTGTGAACAGATCTATTTTGCACTATACTCAAATACTGTACAAAATAGCAAGAAATGCCACTATTTGACTACTTATGTTTCTACAAAAACATCATTGTGAAGGTGCATTTATTTTTAAAAGTCAACTAATAACTGCTAACGTACATGTCAATCAAAGGTATTTTAGTTTTCCCAGAAACTTTGAATCTAGGCATGATATACAATTGTTGACTTTGATTAGCATATTTCAGGGGCATAACAGATATTTTTAAATATTAAAAGAAAAGTACATTTTATTCATTAATTATATAAAATTGAAAATTGTGTTTTCTAATTTAGCTATGTGATTTTTGTGCATGTGTGTGTGTATGATGTGTGTTTGTGTGTGTGTGTGCATGTGTTACATGTGCGAAAGAATCCACAATCTGCTGATGATGTTTTAAAGTTGTCATTTAAAAATGTTCAACTCTTACCAAAACCTCTTCTGGTATACAAAGCTGCTGTAAATTTGAGTCAATGAAATTTAAAGTTACAATTTACAAAAGCAGATTTACATTAATTCTTATCTGAAAGAGCTGCTTTCAAGACAGAAAAATGTGCCAACTAACTGCCCTTTCCTTTATAATTAGTGGCTTCTGAGTCCTAGTGAAAAGAAGCCTTAAGGCAGAATTTGCAGTAAACAGGAAAGAAGAGAACCATATAAGTGCTCATCTATAGTCTGGGACACCTATGAATTCTCATCGGTTGGAGTTTTTGGCACAGTTTTCTAATCTGATAGGAACATTGCTCCACCTCAGCCACGCCGGTTGCTTTCTCTACTCTCCAGCACCGGAAAAATTCAGCCAACAACACATACATGAAAAAAAACTAAGTCACATCTATTGTCCTTTTTAAAATTTTAGGTATTTTCCAATGATTGAAGTGAACTGTAAGGTTTCAGTTATTACTTTCAAATAAACCATGAAGCTAAAAATATAATGACCATGACATTCCAATAGTTATTAAATTTAAGCGTAATTAACATCCTGTCAGGGTGACTCATAGTTATTTGAGCTTGTCATGCTGTAATATGTACATGGCTATATATATTCTACATAGTAATTAAAAGCTGGTTTCACATCTCTAGCTTTTCTCCTTATGGGTGTCAAGCTTCCAATTGCACTAGCAAGGATTCTGAGCACTCCTGAAGGGAGCTGACGGCACAGATCTGAGGTTCCACAGTTCAGAAGAATTCATCTTTGAATGACAATGTTAATTTTTCATCATCCTTAGGCAATAGTAGAAAATTATCCTATTTAAGATCTAAATCAAAAGGTTTCACAAAGAGTGACATAGGATCCCCTTTTATCACTATTAGAACATTAGGAAATAAATCATGTAATTTGAAATCTGCTTTAAACTACATCCTAGGGTAAATCTTTTAAAAAGGCAGTGGCTCTTTTGGTATGGGGCGTTTTCTGCCTGTAGGTCCATGAGTTATCAAATGAATGTCTCCATTAGAGGTCTACTGATAAGCTATATCACTATATACATACTTTACATATTGGTTCACAAATTAGCAGTTATTAGTCAGACTGTACATAGCAAAACAAACCAATTGTGATGTTGCTATATACCCCAAAGGCAATCAGCATTGAGATTCAAGGACTGACTCCTAATACAGGCTCCCTGTTTAAATAGGTAGCCCAGTAAACTAAATTAAATGTACCAAACAAAACTGGGAAAACTATTCTAGACATTCTGTCAATTTTGCTGACACTGTTGAATGTTTTCTTGGCTTCAGCTGGCTTGTTTTCCGGTTTCTTGTTGGGTTCTGGCGTGGTTGCACTTTTGGAGATGGTGGAGAGAACAGGATCTTTGGAAAGATTTGGGGCGTAATTGGCCACAGCCACAGCATAGGCATTGTTCTGTATCATGACTGAGCCTTTTTCTTTCTTCTATTGAAAAATAAAAAAAATTAGGAGTGTGGGTTTAGCCTGCTACTTAAAATTTTCCAAAACACAATTCAAGTTCTAGAAAAAACTACACAAATATATATCACTATCCATTAGAAAAGAAGAATTAGGAGAATAAAGTGGATTCATGAATCCTAAAATCATTACAGTGACAAAAGCTCATAGAGAAATATACAGGTCCATTCTTCTAGAGAAGCATCTTATTTTTCATGGAAAATAAACAACAGAAAAAACTTCAATAAAAATGCAGCTGTTTTAACTCATATAAGTCACTCATTTATTGAATAAACAAGTGAGTAAATAAATAAAATGAAAGACTAGTTTTTCAGAAGAGATATGATCATCAGTGATGAATGATATCAAATTTCTTACCAGATAATGGGGTCCTCCCCACTTCATGGAAAACTAAGAAGGCAATGCTTTACTGAGATTGTAGGGAATTGTACCTTTAGGCAAATGGCAGTATATAAATCACTAATATCATGATATATGAAGGCAAATTAATTCCAATCCTAGAGGCTTTGCCTGACTCATCCCCATTCTGTTTCATTTAAGGATCTCCAGTTCAGTTATGTCTAGCTCTTTCTTCATTCAACGTGACTTCCTGCCTAGAAATTCTGTTGTGCTCCTCTGCTTGGCTTGCCCTTTTCAATTATAAGACACTACAGCTACAGGGAGGTTTTGAAAAAATTAGATCACAACATTCTTATGCTTAAATCTCTCCAACATTATCTTATGGAGCTTAGAATAAAGGCAGCATGGTTTTAGGTGCTTATTTTTATTTTTGTTATTGTTGTTTTTACCATGACTTCCCTTTGTTCACTATATTCTAGCTTTCAAAATATTTCTCTGCTAGGATACCCTGAGATGTACTAGTTTCCCAGCTTAGAATTCTTACTCACATCATTTTTCACATGATTAATTCCCTTCCCTAATTTAATCTGGATTTGAATGTCATTCCTTAGGCACCTTGCTTATTTATTACACCTTAGTCTATTTTCTCCTCAGGTACTCTATTTTGGATTACCAAAACTTGTTTCTTTAATGGCAGTTTTGAAGGTATATATATCCTTCTTTTGCCATGTGATTATTTGACATACTCCATTCTCATTGGGATCAAGGTATTATGCAGACTGGTATTGCCTCTTTTCCATTCAACTTTGCAACCTTTGACCTTAACATGAAGACTTCCATAAATATCTTCCATGAAGTAGGCATGCAGTATAATTATGATTAATGAAACCTGAAAACACAAATTCTATTTATCTGTTATTAGGCTAATGCAAGTATATTGTGATTTATCTATATGCCAAAAGAGGAGCCAGCAATGAATTATCCAAAAGCATGAGTAGTATAAAGCCACAAAGTTAAAGACCCACCCAGAATAGAGCTTGTAATATTGTTGGATATATAGTGTTCAAAATGTGCTAGTAAGTAGGATGAGACAATAGTGCTCCAAGCTCTGGAGAGCCAGAAAAAAGACCTGTGTTTCCCATCCCTTGGTGGCATGAGTTTGTCCCCCTCCCTTTTTTCCTGAGAAGGGATTCTTCCATATCTAACAGGAGCATAAAGGAAGAAGGGATGAGAGTTCACTCCCTGCAATCTTATAAAACCTGTACTACACCTCTCCATGGTGGGGATGTGGTTCCCAGCTTATCGTTAGAGATTGCCTCCACGTACGTGTCTAATAAGAAAGCTGTAACTAACAGCTTTTCAGGCTTGTAATACATATCAGTTTGAATGCTAAGTTGAAGGTGTAATTCTGATGAATTTTGTACTAGGTAGGAAGCAAGTGCTACTTTAACCTCATGTTATAAGCTCAGGAATGGTGGCAAGGACTCCTATCTATGAAATAGCTGAAAAAGATCATGAACTTTAGATACTTAGATATGACAGCCTTCCAAACGTCTGCTTCAAACCTGCAATGTAACTTTCTGCTTGAAAAAGTTATTTGAAATTTGGGAATACTTTTTCCTCCTAAAACACTCTAGTTGAAGATTTCATCTCTATGTCACAATCAGAAAGAATTCAGTAATCCAAGAAGTATGTAGAACATACAGTTATGTTATGATTTAACCTATATCTGAACACCATTTTAAAATGATACCAGATATACTTAAAGAGAACATGAGCCTTAGAAAAAGTCTTTAAATACCCTCTGCTTCAGCCTGTTGTTTGAAAACAGGGCGATAACAGCAGTGAAGCTATTCTGAACTGCTGTGATAGTGAATTAACATAAGCTACAACAATATTGAGAAATTACTTTCTCCTGGGGAAGTGGAGTGACAATTGTAGCTGTATCAAACTAGACAGTAATCACTGGCGTATAAGTCGCACATGTACTATAATTACTTATGTATTGAGAGAAGACTACATAAACATTGGAAAGTTTCAAGAATGGTTTCATGGAGGTAAAACATTAAAAGTAGATCGGGAATTTTGATTTAGGAGTTCAGACATTTATATAAAGATATATTTTGTTGAAATAGAGCTCTATAGAGAGGGTGCTATGTTATTTTTACCAGCATTCCTCCTACATCACGCTTGATTACTTTTCAACTGCACATGTACAAAATAAGTAGCAAAATCTTTTAGGTTCGAGCAAACAAAGTTCACACTGGACCCCAGTGGTAAATAAACAGATGGCCTCTACCAACAGGAACAAGTCAAATACAAGCCCTGGATATTTGTTTTTCTGTTTATTTCATCCCAATACTGTAAGAAACTGTTAAGAAATCATTTCCAATATGTGTTTGGAATTTCTGTTGACCAAATTATAAAAATGCCTCTTTATTATCAAAAGATAAGTATACAATTTAGAGGAGGACTGAGCATTAAACAAAGTGATGTGATGCACTTGGCTTCAAAAAACTGATAGAAGGTAGAGTTTTTACCATTTTCAAAACCAGTAGTAAGTAAAGTCTCATCATTAATCCCTGTCTTCCCAAGAACCTGGTATTGGCATTTTGTAATGCTCACTGAGTGACCGTCTGAGGTTCTGTATAGTGCCGTATCTTCTCTAATCCTAGACAGCACAGTACAGTTTTTATGAATTAGACTCTTACAAAGTCTTGTTTAAAGGGTATAAAATGCCTCTCAGTTCATTTAAGAAGGATAAACATAAGCCTAAATAATGAAAACTGCTCTTTTTTGTTTGAAATTAAATGTGCATAGAGAAAACTACTGTTGAATTCATAGCAGACTTACAATATTAAGATTCTGTAGTGAAGTCAATCTCCAACTGACCAGGAAATGTCCTCCCTGCTGGCTAGCCTTCATGGTGCCAGAAGGTGCTATGCAGTTGACCTGGATGCTTGGGTGGGTGGGTGGATTTGGTGTGGTAGGTGCGTGGTGGGGGGGGGGGGGGGGGGAGACATTATTGATCTAACCCAGTGCTTGACCCTGTATAAAATACTAACCTATGAGAGAAGATGTGTCAAGAGGTACAATAGTGGCATGATTGTTATGAGAGTAGCCAAGTACTTTCTGATTGAATTTAAGGCCTCCTCCACAAGATGGAATTCATGCATTATACTGAAAACCTGGTTTAGAGCCTCTGGGTGGGGAGGGCATAAGCTATAGGAAACAACCTACTGTTGTTACTTGACTCAATGGTCATGTTGTCAAACTGCCTTCTAAATATTTATGTATATATTCATAAGTCTATGTGGCTATCAACCTTGGTCAGAGATGCTTCTCTTTGTAGTAGGCAGCAGTTAGTGAGGAGACTCATAACTGTCAAAAGTGATGAAAATGAATGACTATGAGGTCTCAGCCCTAAATGGGGCAACTATATAAAGACCTCTTCTCAGGCTCAGGAAATATCAAAGAGGGGTTTGAAAGAAAGCAGGAGCTAGATGATGGGAAGAGTGCTGTGAAATGCTGTCTTCTGGACATGTCAAGGCCAGTGCACTCAGTCACTGCAGCTGTGGCCACCTCCACAGGACCTGAGCAAGAATAAGCCAGTCAAAATTCCAGCAGGGATGAGGTGAGGTGCAATGAGGCCTACCTGAGCAGCTAGTGGCAGCTGATGGCTCCTGGGAGAACAAGTTATTTTGGAGGTATGGGGCCACTGGTAGGTTGTCCCTGCTCCAATGGATGATCTCATACCCATGCACATATGGGCAACACTAATTGGACTCAATGTGACACAAACACAATAAAAAGTGCAGGACATGAAGGAGGTAGTGTGGCAGAGTTTCTTTATAAAGTTTAAGGGGAAAATTAGGGAATGGATAGGAACAAAATACATAGTATACATGCATGAAGACTGCAAAGAACGAATAAATAAAAATACTGTTAAAAGGTTTTCTTGAGGCTGGAGAGATGGTTCAGAGCACTGAGTGTTCTTGCAGAACCTGGGTTTGAGTCCAATCACCCACATGGCAGCTAACAACTGTCCAAAACTCCTGTTTCATGGCATTCAATGCCCTCTTCTACCCTCCATGGGCACTGCATGATACAGGTGCACATACATGCATGCAGGCACAACACTCAAACAAATAAAAAGTAAATAAATAAAAAAAAATCAAAAAGAAAAGGTTTCCTAAAGCAGAATATGGGAAGCCTTCAGAAAATATTTTGCTATTCTGTTTTTCATTATTCTTCTTAAGAAATCAATTTTCTAGCTACAGGACCAAAATATACATATTTTAAATCATTACCAATGACTTTTACCTTCTCCTATTCAATACGGACAAATTAAAAGAATTTTGTTGAAATGAATTTTATTATAAGAAGATTTTTTTATTTCACACAGGCCATGAATTTAAGCCACAGGATCCTTGCATTTCTCATTTATTCAGTGTTAAATCTGGTTTATCAATAGACCATTGAAAAGAAATTGTGCAGTGAAACCTATTGCTGTTAATTGTTCAAACCTCTGCTCATTGTCATAAAGTCATTTTTAATGTCTGTATAATTTTGTTTCCTTAAATACTAGAAAACTTTGAAACAGTCCTTTCTCTTACTTAGTTCCTGAT